AGGCCTGTTGGGGAAGGCCTTGAAGGAGATTATTTTTCACTCACTCCTTCATTTACCTACACATAACATCTATGTGCCAGGCACCACTTTAGGTGCATTGGCAAACAAAACCAAGTCCTGAATGATGTGACTCCTGATTTAAAAAACAATGTATAAAGGAAGGCGCACAGTGAAGCATTTCACAACGCAGAAGGATCTGGCATCACAGTACCTCAGTTCCAAGCCCAGAGCTGCAACCAGGCACTGCGGGCAAGCACCACGGAAAGCAAGTATTGTCACCCACCCATTCACCCCGACTCTCCAGTTACAGGCACTTAAAGGGTGGGTATCGAGCCACGCAACCCCCAAGGACGCTCAAGAAGCACGCGCCGAGAACGGCTGCGTTTGGGAGAGGCGATTGCTATCTAGGAGCGCACCAAAAGAGGGGTGGAGGACAGTGGGGGTAGGCCGTCCGGATGCACAGCCTTCATCCTCAGGCCGGTCCCCTCTTGGTCCAGGAAGAAGACAGTTGCCAATATCGGCAACCATACCCTGCCCTCCCGCGTTTGGTACCTGCGCCCGGACCCTGGCGGATCCCAGCCAGTGGAGAAGCGGAAACACGTGGGAGCACGGAACAACTCCGAAAGACAAGGCACAGCTGACTGCCCCTAGTGGATGCCTGGTAGCCAGCTCTCGGAGTTAGCCTCGCTTGGCAGCACGCGTCCTCAGGCGCTAGCAGGCACCACGTGTGTAAGCGCAATAAAGTCGCCGGCGACGGCAAGCGAGAAGGGACCACCCTCAACTCTGTCGCTGAGTAATGACGTAAGGCTCCAGAGGCGAAGCCGCGGCCTAGACGTCCAGCGCAGTTGCACGTTTTAGTCTCACTGCTCGCGGAAGCTGCGGTGCTGGGTGCTGTTTGCCACTCTCCACTCTGTTTATATCCGAACTAAGGTACCTTGGCTAAGAAGGGCAAAATAGATGTTCGCACCCCGAGGGCCTGCCCACGTAGGTCCAGGGTTTTCAGCGTTAGCCTGGATACGCGAGACGCGACGGAACCAGGGATCTGTGTTCAATTAAACCGATCCCCGTAAGTTGAGGAAACTCGGCTAACAGACCTATCTTATTGGTCTCGCTTGGCCCTCCACCCCCACCGTTTTGATCTTACAGATGGGAATCCTGTAATCTACTCATGACTGCGGCCGCTGTACTTTGCAGGCTCCCTTTAATAAGCCTGTCGTCAAATGAAGTTACTCCCCCAGGGATTCCAGTTGAACTCCTCCAAGAACATGACTACAAGGACTACCTATACATAGTTTTGCATTCTTGACTTCGGGGCAGATCGCTGAACTTCAGAAAACATTATCAACTGCTCGATGTTTCCTCCTGGATACCGCAAATGTCTGAACCCAAACTCCTTTCCCAGATAGACACTTCCAGTTTTAATGTCAGCAGCAGCACCACCCATTTAGTCCAACATCCATCACCAAATTCTTTTCTAATTCATTCAGCAAAATTTCAATATGCCATACACTATTCTGCTCACAAGGGATAGTGACCAAAATGTTCCTGGCCCTCGTGGTTAATTCTAGTTTGTTTTAAATGCTGTTAAGCAAAAGTATCCGGTGAGTAAAGTGACTAAGGGTACACTATTTCAGAAGCGAACACCGAAGGCCTCCGAGGGAGTGACACTGGTTAGAGCAAAGACCCTAAATTTATAAAGAATGAGCCCTGGGAATATCTGAGCGAAAAGCTTTCCCATGCCTTAAGATATACATACAAAAGCTCTAAGAGGGAAAAAAAAATCCTGGCAAAGCAGTCAGTGTGGCCGAATCAGTGGGCAAGTGAAGTAACGGTAAGGCAGGCCAGATAAAAGTATGGCATGAGGACCACATTCAGAATTTAATTCTAGTATGAGAAACCACTGCAGTTTGTGGGGTACAGAGAAATGAGAAAATCTGCTTTGCTCTCTTAAAAGGCTCATTTGGTTATGCAAAAATTAAACCACAGGAAGGCAAAGGTAGAAATAAGGGCAACAATTATAACCTATTTTAGTCACCTGTGCTAGAATGGTAGTCGTGGTAGTGGTTAACAGTATTAGATGACTGGAGATTCAAGTTGGAAGCACATGGACTCACTTAAGGATACAGGATACAAAAGTAAACTGAAGATGGTACCCAAAACATATGCTTTGAGCAACTAGATAAATGGAGAACTGGTGTTGGGTAATCAAGGAGTTGACTTGGAATTTTGAGAAATTCCTATCAAGATGGTGAATATGAGTTTTGAGAGGTTTGGGACCTAGAAATATTTAGGACTAAAACGCTGTTCATATTCAAAATCATGGGACTGGATGAGATTACCCAAGGAAGATTTTAGCTAGAGATGAATCTGACATCCAAGGCCTGGAGAAATCAGCAAAGGATGCTGATTAGTGTCCAGTGAGATAGGGAATCTATACAATCCATTCACCACCACCCCCATCCCCACCTTCATGTTGCAATCCATTTCTCATGAGCCACTCCAACAAGCCTCACCATCTCTTGACCCATATATGTTGTTCTCAACACTGCATTAAGTGTTCTTTAAATGGTAATTTTATTAAGTGAACCACCATCCCCACCCCAAATAATACACACAGCTTTTTTTTTTTTTTTTTTTTTTTTTTTTTTTTTTTTTTTTTTTTTTTTTTTTTTTTTTTTTTTTTTTTTTTTTTTGAGATGGAGTCTCGCTTTGCTGCCCAGGGTGGTGAGCAGTGGAGCACAATCTCGGCTCACTGAAACCTCCACCTCATGGGCTCAAGCGATTATTCTGTCTCAGCCTCCTGAATAGCTGGACTACAAGCACACGCCACCACACCCAGCTAATTTTTGTATTTTTAGTAAAGACGGGATTTCACCGTATTATCCAGGTTGGTCTCGAACCCCTGAACTCATGATCTGCCCACCTCAGCCTCCCAAAGTGCTGGGATTACAGGTTTGAGCCACTGTGCCTGGCCCAACCAACACACAGAATAGTTTGCAACTGTCCTTAAGAGACGAAACTTAACATGGAATGCAACTATTAACACTGCCCATGGTAACCTTTACCTGTTTCTCTAACCTGTAACTCTGCTAGTCCTTTTTTTCCACTTGAGCGTGATAACTTTCTCGGTCACTGGTGATCAGATGTTTAGATATTTCTTCTCTCCCCTTTGACTAGTCTACTATTCCTCATCCTTCAAATCTAGCTCAGTTACCTCTCTCATCATTTTAACTAAGGTATAAACTTTGTCATGGCTTTAACATCTACCATCAACACATTGCTCCATCATGGCATTTGCTACACTTTGGTGTCGCATCAGTGTATTTGATTTAGACAGTTCAAGGAAAGCAGAAACCACAGTGATTTTGTCACCACTAAATGCCTAGTGCTTGGCATGATGCTGGGTAAAGGATACCCTAATTTGCTGAATAAAGCCTTAGTTCAGTGACTTAAAACAGTGTGTATCCCTATTAAACACATTACTTACAGTTGGTATTTCCAAATAAGCAATAATACACAAATGCCTTTGCTACATGATCAGAACCAACTGCTGGTCTTCTACTCCCTATACTCAAAACAGCCATACTGCTGCACGTAACTGGAATGGACTTCAAAAGAGCTTGTTAAAGTAGGAGAGTAGTAGTAGTAGAGGTTGAGAAGTGTATTAGATGAGGCTATATTAGATTTATAATTATATTAGATTTCTTTAATAAACCTTTTCCTCTCCTCGTACCAGTAGCACTTCTTCACTTAACAGCTTTGCTTGATGGTTTTTAACAACTTAAGCAGACTTCGTTCAAGGACAGTGAGAAAAACAGGCTTTCATATAACTTAAAGTAATTTTAAACATTCACTAGTCTTCTCCAATATTACTGTAGAATTCAAAATGGAAAAAGGTATGAAGATGAGCTTTAGCAATTTACTTTTGTTTTCCTGGGGAGGGGGTTCCTCCCCATTAATTCCATAAAAAGGACAAGATCAAGAGCAATACCGATTCTTTGAAATTCATCAGTTAAACCTAGAATGCTTAACAAGAACTCAAGTGGGATGCAGATTAAAATGAAGAGTCTGAGTTTGGCGCTTACCTGCATTCCATTTCTTCTAGTTATATTACTGAAAATATAATGAACAAACTTCCTAAAACACTTAGGAAGCTGATTGCTCAACCAGTTGTTAACTGAACACCTCAGTTAATGAACCTTCTGAGAATAAGCATACATTCTCATGTCTCCTGTAAGTGGAAAAGTCTCCCACATAAGAGTTGCATATAAAAGGAGACAAAAGAACTGTAGAAGCTAACTGATTAGAAATATTTAAAGGATATTTGTTTTAATATCAAGGTACAATGATTGAAATAACTTTTTCATAGTATTTACGAATTATTAAGATCTGGAAATAAAACTGCCCTAATCAAGCAATCAATGACATTCTACCTTTTTGAGTTTTTAAAGTTTCACATCCATATGAGATGATTTATATTGTGCATATACAAAAGTATTTTATACGTGAGCTTGCTACACCAAGAGGCTACAGTGACGTGTGACATCGTTTCCTGGAAACTCTGTGAAAATATGCATTTGACCAAACAAAAGGCCTTCTGCAGCTAGGACGAGCATTCATGTATTATACAGAATACTTAGAACCAAGATTCAGATCTTAATAAGACTTGTTGAAAAGTTCTCTGCCCCATAATGTGATACCCCTTTAAAAATATGGTCTGAGTAGAGACATAAGATACACATTGAAACTGTGATGGCAAAATAACCAAAAATAGAAAGAAAAATAGTTCAAAAAAATGAAACAATTCTTTGAAAAACATACATAGGAAGTCAAACTATGAACACCTTTACACATTCACAACATCTGCACTAATGCACAGAAGTTCAAAACCTCGAAGGCATTTTCCCCCCATCCCTTGTCTGAACTGATTCATAGAGATCACTGTGTCAAGAACTTACTTCAATCCTGATTGTAAATGTCATGAAATTATTTTCTACACAGATAGCAAATTTAGTTTTATATAGGATTGCAAGCATACATCATCTAGGGATTACCCAGTAAACCACAAATGTTTTATCCATCCCCCTAAGATACAGGTAACATATGGTTGTGGTACATCCCAGGCAGATGTCATTTACAGCACGCAAGGGGAGGTGCTAGCAAAAGAAATACTCATTTGCCAAAGTAACAGGTTAACCCTTCCAATATGATGTACCACAACCACACATGAGAAAAGTCAAGAACTTATTTTATTTTATTTTAAAATAAACATTGAAGATACCCCATTTCCCACCACCCTACAAAACTTTTGAATGTGGAATGTTCAACAGCCTATCCATTTTGGTAGGTTACAAAACCAGCAAAAACTCCAGTTGTCTAATGATGAATGTTTGAGAATAGTTTTATTTTTAAATAGCTGAGCACCTACTGGAAAAATTCCTTGGCTAAATGCTGAAAATAAAATTTAATTTTTGCACAGAAAATACCATTAACTTAGTAGCCTTTGCTTAAAGGTGGGATTAATTCTCCATGAAGTCAGAATGAGACAATAAACAGCATTAAGTTCATAGGCACACAGAACTAGTGCTCAAACTGCTAGCACAAATTCCAACAGAGTACATAAGGCTAAGTTACTACTCAAGTGTCCATTTCCATCAAATTTAGAGACTCTCCCTATGCATCTAAGGGAAGGAATCATCACTTTGAATATAAATGCTTCCAGGAGAAAAGGAGAATTCAGTTAACGTTAAATCAGACAAAAGATAAGTGCAAGTACTAGAGAAATGTTGCTGGAGATAACCATAAAATTTGTGACACTAACGTGGCATGGGGTGAATCACATAAGCTGCTAGCTGTTGAACACCAGTGTTTCAAGATACAACTTTTATAAACATGTTTTATTTCTTTTGCTTATACCATCAGAACTGAAACTACTGTCTAAGTCATTTCCCTGAAACAGGGAAATCAATCTAAAACACATACTGGTGCCTTTCAAAAGATAGCCATTTAAAAGGGTGGTAGCAGCAGGCATTTCATATCTTTTCCTTTTAAAAAAAAGCTTTCAAGCTGAAGGAAAAACATGTGACCAAGAGTGTTATGATTATCCACTAGAGATTTTCATCAGTACCTGTACGAATTTAGGTGACAATACAGCAAAATCCAAGGATTAGTGACAGACAATGTACATGTCATAAGGAATGATAGATAGTACCAATCCTTACAAAAGTCATTGTCTCAAAGAAACTGTTAAGTATTCAAAAAGGTATCTAAATATTTCACATTAAGTACAGAAGCGGCCATTCAGATTACATCCCGTGTTTGTTGCATATTTTTCAAAAAGTGCCAATCAAAGCCTAATTTTGCATCTTGGCTTTGTCTTATACAGTATCAGCTGTTAAAAAGCATTTTACATGTGTTTTTAAACCACAGTTGTTTGGCCAGATGAACAGTGCTGTCAAAGCTGGTAGCCAGCCTTATATGTGTGATTAGGACCCATGCATAATCTGGTATGCATCTAAACGTTCAGTGCTCCAATTTTACTGGAAAAGCTGTGAAATGCAGTTGTTCTGCCAAACCACACTCCACTCCTTTCATCTTCCTTTCTAGGGAAATATTTTAGTTTGTCAGTTACCACTGAATAACGAGGGCTGACCTGTAGATTTTATCCAATGTCAAAAAAGTCAATCTTGCCTTTTTCAAGCCACTTCAAATAACTATGGAGATTATTATCACCCTGTAAAGTATATTGTTTTACTCCTAAGCAAGGGTGAGGAATCTGAGTATCATGTGCAAGGCTCAAGATGACGCTTAGGACAGAACATGCAGAGTAAAAATAGTTTCCTTCCATATCCAGGTAATATAAAGCTGACAACTGTAGTCCTGTCTTTATGGGATGAAAACAGTCCCTTTACAATAAGTTTCCTGAAAGGGAGAACAAATAGATAATAACTCTTCTGGTAACATATTATGGTACACTGGCCAGTGTGTTTTTGGCGATTAAACATAATCCTGTGAATCAGATTAATTCACTTGCTGAGTGTTCATTTGCGGCATCCCTCTGTTGGGTCTTGGGGGCCCTCCACGACCTAGAAGACAAAAATGGCATTTGATTTTTCTTTCAAATATTATTTGTTTTGCCTTCAAGCAGATTTTCATCTGAAGTAAGAAGCATGTGGGCAGCTGTCACCACATTATTAGGCTTAAGAGGTCAATTCTTCAGTGTTCAAGTTTCCCCTGTCCTGGAAGTTGTCATGCGCAAATTTGCTCATGTTCTCTTAGCTAAAAGAAGCGTAGAGCTAATGGAGTATTCCACCAGTACTCATTCATTCATTCATTCAACAAGTATTTATTGAGTGCCTACTATGTGCCAGGCACTGTCATCAGGCGTTGGGAATAGATACAGCAGTGAAGACAGACAAGGTACCTGCTCTCATGGAGCTTACATTCTAGTGTACACTCTAGCTTACATTTCAGTAGTAACATCATACTATCAAAATTAATAAAAGCACCAGAATGAAAACAGACCTTATTACCTAAACTGTTAAAAAGAAACTACATAACATTCAAAATTGTATAATGACTTTTAACACATACTTTTTACATGCTGTTAAAACAGATTTTAACTATCAGTTAACTCAACTTTCATCAAATATGCTACAAGGTGGGAAAGAAGAACATAACCCACATTCACATGCAAATATCCTTTGATACTTCTAGTCAAGTCAGTAATTCCCAAGTGATCCATTAATTTTTAGAAAAATGTACCTTTTTCCTGGCCAGTTTCTACTAGCATTCAAATCAAAGTACTTTGTAATTCCTCCTTAACATACATTTTACAGGTTATGGCCAATAAATAGAGGAAACCTATTTGATGTTTAACCTCCCTCAAATCAGAGAACCATTTAGAATTTCAGACTACATGAAATGCTAGCTCTAATTGTTAAATAGGCTAACATCCTATCAAAATGGGAAGTAGTCTTCTAATAGTAAAAGAAAAACAAAAACTCTTCAAACCTTTTTAAGTACAGTTCAATAAGTTAGGAATTTGGGAGTTTTGTTTAAAAGTCAGACTTGATATTTGCATCACTAATAGAAGTCCAAAAGACACTGCAAATTCCTTTAGTTCTATCACTTCTAAATGGTTCTCTAAATGTTAACTATGGCTTATCTGGCCATTAAAGGGTGTCTGGCCCTAAAATATAATAGGCATGTTTCAAAAAATGAAGAGGAATAATAAATTTATATAAATGTTCAATCTCATTCCAAAAATGTCTTACAAAAATGTTTCAGTAAGTACTTCCTAAAAACATTTAGCAGGTTTTAGGACCTGAAAAATAATTTTCAGTTGGAAAAACACTTTTTCTGAGGAAAAGAATATGTTCTGGTTTTCAAGACAATTTATATAGTAACAGGGAAAGTCATTCAAAAATTAAAATTTGGGTTCAAGATTAAGTTTTAGAAACAGAGCATTTCATTTAATCCCTAGCAACAAGTCTGGAAAGGATAAATGTATTCCTAACATGCAGACTATGAACAGCTCTTCCAAGGCCAGAACAGAAGCTCCACTTAGGAGCTAGGATCACCACCACAAAATATTACCTCGTGGGGCTCCCCGTGGTCCACTCTGCCCAGAGCCTCGCTTGAAATTCTGCTGATATCCATCCTAAAAGACAAGCTAGTTAGTATTGAAAAGATACTTTTTAAAAAATGCTTACCCATCTATTCTTTCAGTCTAACACTCAATACAGAAATCTTCCTTAATCTTTTAGACACTTCAGTTTATCACAGCTACACCATATTTTGTAATTGCACTTCTACTATTCTCAAGAACATTAAGTGAAATGTATTTCTCTGCTCTTGGAAATCACTGTCTTTAACAGATTTTACTGAAGGAGTACTTATGTCGAGTGCTAAAAAGCTTTTGTTTCAAGAGTATCTTGGACACCATAAAGTTAACCCCAAATTAGTTTAGGTTCATTAAGCAACTACACTAAGCCACTTTCATTGGTTACTTAGCTCAGGCTTATATTAGAACTGGTTTACCTACCCGTTGATAGCCAGAGTAATCCCGGGGAGCACTGAACTGAGACTGTGTATAACCACTGTTTGGAGTGTTAGAGAATGAAGGGCGGTAACCATCATATCCTCCTAAAATTTAGGACAAGAAAAGAAATAATTTTCTTATTCACAAGGAACTCTTACCTTCTTATTAATGAAGATGGGAAAAAAGTAAAAAATTATGAGCCAGGCTAGCGATTCAAATTAATTTCCAATTTCCTGTCTTGATCCAATCTGTTTATAAATTTCTGTAAGTACTAACTGCCCCTCAGAAGATAAACTTTTAACCCATCTATGCATGTAAACACACACACACCCATACAAACATAATAAACAATCCCCATAAGGTTTGGTAATGTGGAAAACACTATCCTCCGATACAGTGGTAGACATGAAATTGACATAACCAAATGAACAAAAATTCCGTGATTTGTTATTTAAATAACAAATTATACTAAATATACAAATAAACAAATTATAACAATTGTACCAAACTATATATTTTGTTTAAATTGTACATAAGAGGCTAATGCAGACAGACACATCCTTCCCAAAAAACTGTGTGATATATGTTACAAATAAAGAAAGAATCTGATCTAGTAAAAGGTCATTAGAACTTCCTTTATTTTTTACCTCTGAATCCATTGGCAGGGCCCCGGTATCCATTCATCAAGCCTCTAGCACCACGGGAACCTCCGCGAGACACACCACGGCTATTGTAATAGGGCTGACTGCTACGTGGAAATCCAGTGTTCTGCTGAGGAGGCTGCTGGTGGTTACCAGTCACTTGATGGGACTGGTCCGGGGAACCATGGTATGTGCCCACCACTATAATTTTAGAAAGAAAGAAAAAGTATACATCACACACGTATGTACATATGGACAAATGTATGTGTGTATGTGTGTGTGTATATACACACACACACACACACACACACACACACACACACACACACACAGCTCATTACTGTTTGTTCTCCCATGAACGAGAAAGTTTAAGAAGTGTCTTATACAGTCTCCTTTAAGTTTAATCCTTAAATTTGCAAACAACAATAAGGAAAACTACACATGAATAGTCTCTTACCTTTCTCCTACCCTTAGACTAATCTAATGGGGGTAAAATTCTCCAACCACAATTCCAAACCTTTGAAAGCAGGGTGCTTCCACACAAATTATATGAAAGGCTATATTAACGTCTCCTGAAAGGCATCTACCTTTTAGCACAAGAGACCCAAAATAAAAGATTTACACATACTACAATTACCATTTAGTACCATTTAATTACTTCTTTTCATTATAAAGCTCCTTAGTGGTAGAAGTTTTCTTATTCTTTTAAATAACCTTAGGAGGCAGCCCCCTGGCACCAAGCAGCCTGAAAGTGCCCCAGCCCAGAAGCTAAATAACCTTTGGTACTTAGCAAAACAACTCTCTCATATTTAAACAGCTATATGGTAGAACATGCCATCAATAACATAGCTTAATCAGAGGAGGCCTTCAGCTTATAGCCCTTAATGCCAAATTCCAATTCAAAGTATTTTAAGTGGGAAGTACGGCCAATTTAGAAGACAATTACATGGCACTCAACCCACTTGAAGGTAAGGTTCTAGAAGGTACACACTAACATATATACAAGCTCCATCCACAATGGAGAGAGTTCTAGAATGTAGAAACTTTCGAAAATTAAATACAAAGGAACAATGTTATAATTCAAAGAGGAGAAAAAAAGGGTGCTAAAAGTATCTTTGGGGGGTGAGGAAGATAAGAGAAAAAGGGAAGGCCCACACACTAAAAACAAGGGTCAGAAGCTGTTGGCCAACCCAAATCTCCCCTTTTGGGACAGAGAAAAAAGCAGCTGTATGACTCTTAAAAATCTTTACCTGACCTATTTTACATCCTTAAGAAACTCCAAATACATTAATAGTTGTTAGAATCCTATTTTGCAATGAAAGCACTAGGGAATACCTAGAAGGAAAACATAGAGTCATGGCTCCTCTTTAACTATTTAATAAACCAACTAAATCATTCAGTGTCATCTTTTTATATAGACTGCCTTATACTATATTCCCATAATTTAAAATAAGTGAATGACAAGTACACGTAACATTTTCCATATAAAAAGGTTCACTTGTATGCATTAGAATCACTTTTTATCAATAACAACTTTTATTAATTTTGATCAAATCTCACTGTAAGAAATTGATAGCAAGGCTGGATGCAGTGGCTCACACCTGTAATCCCAGCACTTTGGGAGGCTGACGCAAGCAGATTGCTTGAGCTAAGGAGTTGGAGGACACCAGCTGGGCAACAAAGTGAGACCCCATCTCAACAACAAAACTACAAAAAATAGCAAGGCATGGTGGTGCATGTCTGTGGTCCCAGCTACTTGGGAGGGTGAGGTGGGAGGATGGCTTGAACCTGGGAGGCAGAGTTTGCAGTGAGCCGAGATGGCACCAGCACACTCCAGCCTGGGTGACAGAGCCAGACCCTGTCTCAAAAAAGGGAAGGAAAAAGGAAAGAAAGGGAGGAACTCACAGCAGAACAACTTGAAGTGTGATCTTTATTTTATTTAATTTTTACTTTTGAGACAAGGTCTAGCTCTCTCGCCCAGTGTTGTTGAGGCTGGAGTGCAGTCACGTGATCATGGCTCACTGCAACCTTGAACTCCTAGGCTCAAAGTAATCCTCCAGCCTCAGTTTCCTAAGTGGCTACGACTACAGGCATTTGCCACCTCGCCCTGCTAATTTTTGTATTTATTTTATAGAGGTAGGGCTCTATGTTGCCCAGGCTGGTCTCAAACTCCTGGTAGCAAGCAGGCCTCCCAAAGAGCTGGGATTACAGGCATGAGCCACCAAACCCAGCCTTCATTTTATCTTAAAATACCCAAATTCCTACTTAAATTTTGGTAAAGTATAAACTTATAGGCTATTTTAAAAAGCTAAAGATTCTTTTGTCATGTTCCTGATTAGATACTAATTCAAATTAAAACAAAATTTCCAGAATGATGGGACATACTGAAATGATTTGTTCAACAACTATTCAGGCCAAGCACAGTAGTTCACACCTGTTGTAATCCCTTTGGAAGGCCAAGACGGGTAGATCACCTGAGGCCAGGAGTTCAAGACCAGTCTGCTCAATGTAGCAAAACCCTGTCTCTACTAGTAACATAAAAATATAGCCAGGCATGGTAGTGTACACCTATAATCCCAGCTACTTGGGAGACTAAGGCAGGAGAATCACTTGAACCGGGGAGGCAGAGAGAGGTTGCAGTGAGGTGAGATCGCGCCATTGCACTCCAGCCTAAGCACCAAGAGCAAAACTCCATCTCAAAAACAGACAGACAGACAAACAAAGGCCAGGAATGGTGGCTCACGCCTGTCAGTATTTTGAGAGGCCGAGGTGAGTGGATCATCTACAGTCAGGAGTTTGAGACCAACCTGACCAACATGGAGAAACCCCGTTTCTACTAAAAATACAAAATTAGCCAGGCGTAGTGGTGCATGCCTGTAATCCCAGCTACGCGAGAGACTGAGGCAAGAGAATTGCTTGAACCTGGGAGGCGGAAGCTGTGGTGAGCCAAGATCGCACCATTGCACTCCAGCCTGGGAAACAAGAGCAAAACTCTTGTCTCAAAAACAAAAAAACAAAAATCAGAGGGCCTACAACATGCCAGACACTGTCCTAGACACAAGGGATACCTTACCAACACATAGTTCACCTTACCAACACATAGATCTTGCCTAAATTGAAGCTTTATTCTAATGGAAGATAATAAATGAATAAAGTATACATACAAAGTAAAAACAAAATAGGATAAAAATGAGGCACCAAATGAGTGAGCTATATTTGAAAAAGTGATGAATAGAGGCGATATTTAAGCACAAACTTGCAAGAAGTCAAGAAGCAAGCAATACAAGAGACATAAATTTAAAAGATCTATTATACGACATGATGGCTCTGGTCAATAACAACGTATTATAGTACTCTTGAAAATAGAGAGTAGATTTTTAAGAGCTCACACCACACACACACACACACACAAAAGGCAAGTATGTAATGTAATGCAAATGTTGATTAGGCTGACTTAGCCATTCCACAATGTATACATATTATTTCATCATGAACTCCTGGCCTGAAGCAATCCTCCCACCCCAACCTCAAATGTAGCTGGGATTACAGGTACGAGCCATTAAGCCTGGCCACAATGTACACACATTTTCAACACAGCATGCTGTATGTGATTAAAAGATATCTATATATATTTATAGTTTCTATTTCTCCATTAAAAATAAATGAACTTAAGAAAAAAAAAAAAACAGAAAAAGCAATCCATATACTTATCAGTGGGATAAAGTTTTGCCAAGAAGGAAAGTATCAAGGCCCTGAGAATAAGGAGAACTTGCTGCATACCTGACTGGTGTGAGTATAAGGAAGAAAATGCATATAGTATATGCATATAGAACAAGATAAAGGCTGGGGCCAGATCATATAGGATTTTGTAAACCAAAGTAAGAACTTTGGATTCCTTTTCTAAATGCATTGGGAAGCCACTAGAAGATTTGCAAATAGGAGAGACAGCTGACTTTGTATTTTAAAAGGATCACTCTAGGCTGGCTGCAGTGGCTCACACCTGTAATCCCAGCACTTTGGGAGGCTGAAGCAGGCGAATCACCTGAGGTCAGGAGTTCAAGACCACGACGGCCAACATGGTGAAACTCCGTCTCTACTAAAATTACAAAAATTAGTTGGGCATGGTGGCGAGTGCCTGTAATCCTAGCTACTCGGGAGGCTGAGACAGGAGAACCCTTGATTCTCCTGAGACAAGAGAATTGCTTGAACCCAGGAGGTGGAGGTTGCAGTGAACCGAGACCGTGCCCTTGCACTCCAACCTGGGCACAAGAGGGAAACTGTCTCAAAAAAAAAAAAAAAAAAAAAATCACTCTGGCTACTGTGTTGAGAACAGAGTGGGCTAAAAGAGTCAAGAGTCAAGTTAGGAGACAACTGCAATATTCCAGATAGGAGGTCATGGCTACCTAAAATTATAGTAGCAGTATGAACGTGTTTTAAAAAGCAAGGTATATGGGCTGATTTTATGTTTTTATTGAAAATATCATATTATTATTTATAATTAATGTATATTTTGAAATGGTAACAGAAGGTTATCTAGCTCAAGGGCCTCACAATCAGGAAAGTCAAGCAGGATGCAAGGGCAAGACAGTTTCAAATAAATGGGTACAAGGGCAAAAGTAACCAAGTCAAATGACTGATTACTTTTAATTTCACCACACCATCTGAAAAAAAAAAACCACACAAAAAAATCGGCACAATGTCCAAAGGTTCCAAATATACCTTCTCCACAACCAACTTATGAGTATATGGCAGTGAAGGAGTTTTAAAACACCTGGCAGGCCAGGTATGGTGGCTCACACCTGTAATCCCAGCACTACGGTAGGCTGAGACAGGCAGAACACTTGAGGCCAGACCAGGAGTTTCAGACGACCCTGGACAATATGGTGAAACACAAAAAAACAACGAATTAGCCAGGCGTGGTGGCACATGCCTGAAGGTCCAGCTACTTGGGAGACTGAGGTAGGATGATCCCTTGAACCCAGAGGCAGAGGTTACAGTGAGCCGTGATCACGCCACTAGTTTTTATCATTGAGAAGCTGAGCATAATATAACTGACAATTTCTATAATTTCTATCAGAGCATGGAAGACTCAAGCTTCATACTAGTGATACTGAATGCTACGGGGTATGTAAGAATTTACTATTTAAAAATCTATAATGCTGATCCAAGTTTACCAATAAATTGAATAATTAGAAAATTTTACAACTTTTTAAAATCAGGCTGACTAAAGTATTAACTCCTCTGATTTTAGCAGAAATTGCTAGTTTGTTGTGGGATTCCAATTAAATTCCAAATAATTAAACCAAAGACCTCAATAAGACATTAAAAGACCTAAGAAGACTTAAAGAATCTGGCTGGGAATGGTGGCTTATGCCTATAATCCCAACGTGTTGAAAGGTAGAGATGGGAGGACTACTTGAGGCTCCGAGTTTGATAAAAGCCTGTAGTCCCAGCTACTTGTGGGCGCGAGACGGGAAGATCACTTGAGCCCTGGAGTTAGAGGTTACCGTACACGATTATACCACTGTACTCCAGCCTGGGAGACAGACAGAGACCCCGTTTCTTAAAAATAAAAACAATCTAAAGAATCTCTATCGGGCTACACGACAAGGTAGTTCATGCCCATAATCCCACCACTCTGGGAGACAAAGGCAGTAAGTTCGCTTGAGGCCAGGAGTTGGAGACCAGCCTGGCAGCACAGTGAGCTCCTGGAGACCATGTCTCTACAAAAAAACACAAATGTCAGGGAGGTGGTGAGCACCTGTAGTCCCAACTACTTAGGAGGCTGAGGAAGGAGGATCCTGGAGTCCAGGAGTCTGAGGCTGCAGTGAGTTATGCTGGCATCACTGCATTCCAGCCTGGGCAACAAAGTAAGAACCTGTCTCAAATAAATAAAAGTGTCTCTACCTACATTACTATCGTGCCAGGTATGGTAACTAGCCAAATTATGACCTTATTTGACAAAATAGATTATATTTCAACCCAGTCCACGAAATGCAGCCACCATGAGTTTTTTAACTTTGTCTAACTGACTTAAATGCCAAATATCATGTTAGAAGCCTTCAATCAATTAACAATTAAAAGTATAGTTTATCACCAGATGCAATGGCTCACGCCTTTAATTCCAGCACTTCAGAAGGCTGAGGTGGGAAGACCACACGACCTCAGGAGTTCAAGACAAGCCTGGGCAACATGGTGAAACCCCAACTCTACCAAAAATACAAAAAATTCGCTGGGCGTGGTGGCACATGCATGTATTCCCAAGCTATTCAGGAGGCTGAGGTAGGGAGGATTGCTTGTGCCCAGGAGGCAGAGATTGCAGTGAGCCGATATCACAGCACCGCACTCCAGCCTGGGTGACAGAGTGAGATCCCATCTCAAGAAAAAAAGTGTAGTTTATGGTAATTCAAGCAACGAATTTAATTCTATATAAATTACACAATGCAACAGAGATATTATGAAAGTTCAGTGACAAAAGGAAATGGGTATAAAGCCTCCCAAAATTGCATATAATTCACATATACAAGTACAGACTCAATTTAACTCATGATCTGCAATGAAAAATTCCTATGGTCTACTACTAAAACAGAAACTCTTGAACACCACCACTCTGAAGTCTACACTGTCCTAACACTGTCAATAACTGTGCTGGAAAGCAAGGAGCCAACGAGGTGACACTGGATTTCGTACCTGTTTGAAGCTGTTCTTGCTGAAGCTCTGTTTGTTCTACTTGGTGAGGCTGACTAGAAAAGCTCTGGTTATAACTGGCCTGGTACTGATTTTGCTGTTTTAAAGTTTCTGGTTCATTAACAGGAGGAACTGGGGCATTCATATTGAACACCTGTTAGTAAATAAAGTAAATGATTAGTTCATCCTTTTATTCTCTGCTTTTAACATGGCCAAACTCAATGGTGGTTTTACCTCAGACATAAACAGACATCACAGAAGTCTCAAACACAAAAACATCACACACACAAAAAAAAACCCTTCAAGTGCTTCAATGTGGAAAAAGACATATATACCATATAGCACTTAAAGGGGAGTATAATAAGATGCTGTGAAATGGAAGTAGAAATTTAAAAAAAAAAAAAAAAAAAAAAAAAAAAAAAAAAAAAAAAAAAAAAAAAAAAAAAAAAAAGGACATGAAATCAGCAGCCTTGGAAATGCTTTTACATATATGAGAAATCTTTAAAATATAAACTCTGGCCGGGCACAGTGGCTCACACCAGTAATCCTGGCACTTTGGGAGGCTGAGGCAGGCAGGTCATCTGAGGCCAAAAGTTCAAGACCGGCCTGGCCAACATGGTGAAAACCCGTCTCTACTAAAAATACAACTGTAGTGAGCCGAGATCATGCCATTACACTCCAGGCCTGGGTGACAGAGCAAGACTCTGTCTCAATCAATCAATCAATAAGACAAACTCCTGATGCAGTATCACTTATAGAAATTTATTCTGTGAACTTTAACTAGGTTAAATGTTTTTTCATTTTTATTGACATTTTAATCGAAGGGTAAATATTTTAGTATTTAATCGTATGAACTTTCCTCTGAGCACTGATTTAGCTGTGCCCCACAGATTATTGTATTATTATTTTCTAGAAATTCTCTAAAGGTGCTTGCTGAAGAATCAGGGTAAAGCATAACATCTGAAATTTACTTCAAAATACTTCAGTAAAATAAAAGATTAAGCAAATAAGGCAACTATTAAATCTAGGTAAGGATTTTGTGGATGTTATATTAGTCTATTTCTCTCAATGTTTAAAATTCTGTTAATCAAATCAAAAGGGTAAAACTACAAAATAAGATGATGCAATTCATCACTCATAAGGCTAAAATTTATCTCTAGAACATCAGTTAATATCAGTAAATCTCTGGAATAATCAGTTTATGTTCAATTAAATATATCCTACAATTATGAAAGACGCAGACTCAAGTACAACTAAATGAAGACCTTTGTTGAAACTCCATCAATGTGCAAAATGGAATGAGCTAAGAGAATAAAATTTTTTTAAAAAACGAGGTCGGGTGCAGTGGCTCACACCTGTAATGCAAGTACTTTGGGAGGCCAAGGTGGGCGGATCACCTGGTCAGTTCAAGACTAGCCTGGCCAACATGGCAAAACCCCGTCTCTACTAAAAATAGAAAAATTAGACAGGCATGGTAGCATATGCCTGTAGTCCCAGCTACTCCG